GTCAACAACAAATATAGATCAGCAAAACAGAGCTAAACAGGAATAACCGTTGTCCTGAATGTACCTTTTTTTCTACCATCATAAAAAATTAGTAAGGTTCTATTTTTCACGTAGCCCCAGTATAACACACCTTAAGTTTATATAATATTTTAAAAATCATTGTTATAGGCTACCTTAAAAACACAGTCAAGCAATCATTAAGCAATTATACATATATGAGTGAAAATATATGAATATATATATATATATATATATATGCTCATACAAAATCAATTTTGCCTCTTGGTCCCTAAATTATTTACTGTCTGAACCTTTCTAAGAAGTTTACCTACCCCCTCTATACCATACCACTGAAGTTCTGATGTTTCAGTTTCATTTGATCTAAATCACATTTTTTCAGGTTTTGGTCATCCCAGTGAATTGTTGAAGCTAGTCCTCAACCCTTGAAGTATCAATGAAACTTGAATCTCTGTATATTGAACTCATACTAATAAATTTAACCTGATCCAGTCTTTTATATCTTCCAACTGATCCCCCACCTTTAAGATCCATTTATAATGCATCCCCGGGTTTCTGTCAGTAAAATTTGGTAAAATTGTGCAACTCTCTTGGTGTGAATCATTTCCTCCTCAGGAATCATATATCTTGGGCTCTAGGGCTTTGGGGGACTTGAATCCAGTTACAGATCTGGGAAGGAGAGGTGGTGGGGCAGGTCCTTCAGAGGATAACTAAGGATCTTCAGAAGAGGGGGACTGACCTCCGTATGTGCTACAAGTGCTGCTTCTACTGATAAGAAAGGCTCTGTAGAATCTGGGGTTCAAGGCAGGACTCTGGCTTCACTGGACTCTGCCCAGAAATCCCCACCCCAGTTCTCCAGGCTGCATTCCTTCCTATTCAGCATTATAACTTTAACAAAAGCACCGTAGCTATTGCAGCTAGTGTTGTAATCCTGGCACCCCCAGTATTAGACTTTGGTAATGCTGCCCTGTGGCTACAGGAAACCAGACTTCTTTCAGGGTAGTCATTGGAACTCCAGGTCCTTATTGCGGCTCGTGAGCTGGGAATGTGGAGTCCTACACTCATTGCTCTTCTGATGTTCTCCAGCCCATTGAGAAGCTTGTACTCCTTATTTTCAATAAAGTCATCTAAATACTTGGTCACCCAGAACCTTGCCTTTGACAGATGCTTGATTACAGTTATCTAAAGACAATAATCTTACAGAATCATCTTGTCACTTCACACCATGGAGTATCTGTGCCCACTTTACCTCTGGAAATAGGTTCATTACAACCTCAAGTCTAATCAGGTCACGAGACCAATTCTGGATAAGGCAGAACAATTTTAGATAAATCATCCCTTCTGGGAACAAGTCTGATACTGTGTTTTTAAAAAATGCTATATGGGGGCTGGGGATTTGGCTCAGTAGTTCTGCCACGTGCTTCACAAGCACGCAGGGACCTGAGTTCAATCCCCGGTACCAGAATAAATAATAAACAAATGTTATGCTATGTTACGTAGAAAGAGCCAAAAACTGGGGCCATAACAAGCCTTTATTATGGGGAGGGTCTGCCAGGCTGTCTGTGAACAATGCTCCCACCAGATCCAGGTTTAGCCCCAACCTTCTCCCTTTTTGTCAGCTTGAAGCAGCTCCAGGAGAAGAGACTGCACCCAACAACCATAAAACAGAAGCCTGGAATGTTAGATTTCCCTCACCTTAAAATGGCCCTAACTAGTGATGACACAAGCCCCTCCCCGTGATGTCACAAGCTCCCCCAATCCCTAGCCACTACATCACTCAATCCCACCTATGAGAAGCGCTCCCTGTCTGGGTAACGTTGCTCTCTCCTCTTCTTCCTTCTCCTACCCCTTTCCCTTCCTCCTTCACCTCTATTTTGAGACAGGGTCTCACTCATCATGTAACCCAGACTGGCCTTGAACTTGTGATCCTACTGCGACAGCCTCCTGAGTTTTTAGTTTACAGAAATGCACCACCACCCTGGCTATGCTATTAACGTCCAAGGTTACCGAGGGAACCACACTCACTCTCGCGAGACATATCTGACCCTAGAGTTACTGAAGGAACCTCAGCCTTATCCAGAGCCTCGTTGATAACTGAGCAGAATTCAACATCAAAAAATGATTGTTTTTGAACTTTAAAATATAGAGCAAGATAATCTGATTTAGATCTCCAATTTCTTTAGACATTAACTTCAAATCTGAATTCATTGGACGGGATTAAGTGAAGTAATTTTTGGAATTTAAATGTCCTCTGAGAATTTGATAGTGATAGAGATATCTATATTCAATCCAGACCCTGTCTTCTAGGGATTTTTATTGGCGCACCTTTTTTTGTGTTGTTATTTGGTTGAAGAAGCAGTAATAGGCAGTATTAGGCAGTTTTAGATGGCTTTGTCCCAATTTGACTTTAGAACATGTGGCAGATTGTATTTTATTAGGTCCTATGGTATAATAAGCCAGACACAAAAGGACAAATGCTGTATGATTTCTTTTCTTTCTTTCTTTCTTTCTTTCTTTCTTTCTTTTTTTGTTTTGTTTTTTGAGACAGGTTCTCATTTTATAGTTCAGTCTGGCCATGAACTCATGTAGCTCAGGCTGGCCTCGAACTCATGGCCATCCTCCTGCCTCTGCCTCTGAGTGCTGGGATTACAGGTCTGACCCACCACGCCTGGTGGCATCTGATTTCATTTTTATGAGGTACCAAAAATAGTCAAATTCATAGAGAAAGAAGGCCAGGGGCTTGGGGCAGGACAGGACGAGTTGGTGGCTGTGTGTGTGTGTGTGTGTGTGTGCACACGCGGGCGATTGGACATGCTAGGTATGCACTCTTACCCCTGAGCTGTAAAGCCAGGGTGGAGTTGGTGTTTCATGGGTAGAGAGGCTCAGTCTGGGAAGATGCAGAAGTCCTGGAGATGGACGATGATGATGGATGCACAACGTGAATGTACTCAAAGCAGTGGAAATGCACACTTAAGAGTGTTAAAATGGTACATTTTATGTTCTATACACTTTACTACAATTTTTTTTTAACTGGGATTGAACTCAGGACCTTGATCTTGCGAGGCCCCCTGCCCCACTTTACTACAATTTTTAAAAAGGAGAAAATGGCACCACAGCTCTACATCCAGTTCCACTCCACGCCTGGCCAGGCTGCCCTTCAGAGCTGGGTGGAGTCCCCCGCCCCCCCGGGACAGAGGACAGTAGGGGTGCGACGGCAGGGACTGGAGACTCAGTGATCATAGAGCTGTGGCTAGGCCCTTTCTGTGCTTCAACATGCACCTCTGGAGCTCTGAGCGACCCTACAGCACGTCAGGAGAGCCACAAGCAGGGAAGTCACGCAGAGGAGGCTGCTGTGCAGGGAGGCCCAGCTAGGGGTGTTCCTAGCTCAGATGCCACTGTGTGAAGGAGGAAGACGTTGCAATGAGTCTAACCCAGCTGCAGTCTCCCGAGCCCAGGCAATCCCAGATCCAGGAGAGACAATAGTAATAGATTTCTTTTGTTTCTCTCTCTTTTCTTTTCCTCCCCACCCTTAAAGTTTACTGGTACATTTAAAGCAAACAATAGTTACATTTATCATTGGGATCTTGTACCTTTACATGATGTGTCTCGGTTCTTCCTTTTCCCCCCATACCCCTTCCTACCCTTCCTTCACCCCTTTCACGCTTCCCTATTTACAAAGACTTTGTTTCATTTTTTTCCTTTTTTCACTTCCCTTATTTCCTTTCCCCTCCCCTTCCTACATTAGCCATTTTCTTTAGCTATTTTCTTTCTGTTTCACGTATTCAGTTATACCATTTGAACCTTATTTACACTTTTAGTTTTTCACACCAGAGAAACTATTCAGTATTTACCCTTCCTTTGTTTTCTTTCCCCCAAAGATACTAGGCATTGAACGCAAAACCTTGTGCATACTAGGCAACACTGAGCTACATCTCCAACCCTTTTTAAAAATTTGAAACAGGATTTCACCAAGTTGCCCAGGCTGGCCTCAAACTTGTAATCTCCTGCCCCAGCCTGTTGAATAGCTGAGATTACAGTCACGCACCACCACACCTGCCTCGGATTGTTGTTTCCTCATACTAAATTTGGAATACTTTATTATGCAGCAGGAATTAAATGGGACAAAACAGATTTAACTAATATTTTATTTGATCTATCTGTTCTGAGGGTCATCTTTTCCCCTTGAGTTAAAATGTACACTGGCCAGCCGCAATCCTAAGAGAACAGTCAGTGGTCCCGCCCACTATCCGAAGGCAGCAAGCTGGGTGTGGTGTCACATACCTTAATCTCAGCACCCTGGGAGGCTGAGGTGGGAGGACCACAAATTAGAGCCCAGCCTGGACAATGGGGGGGCTGGGGGAGGGGCAGTAGCAACACCCTCTAGGCCGGGAGCTGTCAATCATGCACACAGCCCACCCACTCCCACACACGTGCCATGGGTTTGCCTTCACTGCTCTGGGCTGTTTGCCATTCCTCCCTTTCGTGGGATTTGCCCCGTCTCCTGGTGATGGCACACTTGGTAGAGAAGCCTTATACATGGAAGAACAGATAGCTGGATACTGTTAGAAGGGATGCTTGTGCTACCTAGAGCCTCACTCTTGACCTCCCCTCCTCCTGCCTCCAGTTCCCTCTCAGAAGCAACATTTGCTAGGTGAGCCTGAGAAGAAGCTCTGGACACGCTGCTCGAGGTCCTTCGCTCTCCTGTAGGGATGGCCGGTGTTTTGGCTCACATCTCTGCTGTGCACAATAAATTGTTGCCCGTGGGGGCCTGGGACAGAGAGTGTTTGAGTCAAAAGTTAAGCCTTTGGCAGCCCTCTTGGCCCTCACCTTGTACTCATAACAGCTTTATAGATAATAAAAGTGGCATTTCAGTTTCCAGCAGTTAGACTTCTGTGTCTCAAATAATTCAAAACTCAAGAGCATCTCTTTCTCGACTCCATGTTGGAGGTAGTGGTGGCTGGGTCAGTGGTTCAGTTGTCAACATGCAGCTTTTTGCCAGAACCCAAGACCTGCACATCCTCGAAGTGATCAGCCAAGAGATGGTCACAAAGACCAAGGCTCCTGTGGCCTCCCTGGAAGGCGTCACACCAGAAGATCAAGTCGCACTCGCGGCAGGCAAGCTGCTAGAGGATGATGCCACCCTAGGCCAGCGTGGCGTGGAGGCCCTGGCCACTCTGGAAGTAGCTGGCTGCATGCTTGGAGGTAAAGCCCTTGGTTTCCTAGCTTGGGCTGGAAAAGTGAGAGGTCAAACTCCACAGATGACCAAAGAGGAGGGAGGGGAGGGGAGAAGGAGAAGACAGGCTAGGCCAAGAGGTGAAATGCAGTACAGCCGGCACTTTGCCGATGCCATGCCCACCTTCTGCAAGAAGAGGGGCCCCAATGCCAATGCTTAAATTCTATGTGATCCTATAAAACCACTTCCCCCAGGCAAAACAAAACAAAACAAAAGACCGCAAGAGGGGAGGAAAAAGGATGTAATTTCTTTGACTTCCTAAAATCTGTTTCTGTCTGTGCTTTATCATTTATGCTTGCCAGTCAACACATTGGCTCCATTCTCTAGCTTCCACACTTTGACCAGCAAGGCAGTTTGGGGTCAATTATTCAAGTATTTTACTGCATTTGCAGTGTTGCTTGATAAGATAAATGTAAAGTAGAGAAATGAACATGCTTGTCCTGGTGATAAAAAATGAAGATCTCATAAACCTGAGGTAAGGGTGGGAATCCCTGGGCATGCTGAGTGCGAGGATTATTTAACCTCAGTTTGGATGTTTATTGTGGCTATTGTGGCTGGCTATTGTGTTTGTGAAGGAAAAAGACCAAAATGGGAAAATACCGTGTATAGCGTAATGTGTTTGTCCAGGTTTTCCAGAGAAACAGAGCCAATAGGATGTGTGTACACAGTAACAGAGATTTATTTTAAGAAACTGGCTTAGTGGAATATGGAGACCCATTAGTCCCAAACCTGCAGCTCGACTGAGGCATAGCAGGCTGTGGTCAGGTTTTATTACTCTCTGCCAAATATTTTAGTGCCTCCCTGTGGGACCCTCTCCCCAAAACACACATTTTTTTTTTCAAGTCAAGAGTGGCCATGTGACTTGCTTTGGCCAATGGACTACAAATAGATGCTATTTGTGTCTTTAAAAGGTGGCCTCTGAATCACCAGGCTCTTTTTCCTCTGCTGCAAGATGGCATGGGCAGATGAAGGCTGCTCCACCATCCTGACCCATGCAGAGCTAAGGTGACCCTCGGTAAGCAAGGAGCTTGAGTGTGAAATAATTCTCTGTTGTTGTAAGTCACTGAGGCTGGGGCTATGTTAACAACTGCAGCATGCCCTCCACCCTGTTCTTCACTGACCTGCTCTCTAGGGTGGAAAACTGTGTGATCCTTGGAGAGGCTCTGACTTACCTTGGAGGCATTTCCAGTTCCTCCTCTTCTCAAAATAAAATGGGAAATCATGTGGGTGTGGGTGTGGGTGTAAAGCTACTAGTGATGGTTAGCAAAAGGATACTGAAAGCAATTATCAGTGAACTTTGTCAAGCATCAGCCAGAATTTTTTAAATCAGCAATGATTTGACTGGAACCCTCAAAGAGCCATGATTGAAATAACAACAACAACAACAACAACAACAACAACAACAACAACAACAACAAAAAGTAATATTTTGGGGAAGAAGCAAGTCACTAACAGTAAATTAGTAATGCAACTAAAGCAAATGAGCCCAAAGCCATCTCCCAGTGCAGGTGTGTGTCACTACTCAGCTCACACTCCAACCGTGATGGCTGCTCAGTGCTGGGGATTGTGGAGGACTGGATGAAGAGGAGGTGAGACATCGTGGAGATGGATGGCAGTCGTGAGTGAGTCACAGCTGCGTGCACGCGTGTGCCTGTGTGTAACTGTACCCCTAAAATGGTTAAGTGATACGTTTCATGTTGTATATATCTTATCGCAATAAAAGAATTTGGAGAGTCACTTCCTTTGTTGGTTTGTTACATGTTTTATGGGTGAGTTAAGACCCTTTGGTTGCAAGTTACATAATCAGTGAACACTAATTTGAGCAAAAAGAGATAATTTTAAGGATATTGAAGTATATCCATTTGAATTCTTCCTTATCTCTGATTTTCTTTGTGGTCCTATTCCATCCTCCTTCCCTCTGCTGGCTGTTTTCTGTCTCTGGTCCACAGGTGGACTATGCTTACCGCCTCTTCCTCTTTGTGGCTCCCAAGTTTACGTGATATGTTACACTCCTGTGTTGATAACAGCTCACAGTCTCTCTCAATTCCATGTTCTCAAGAAAGGGAAGCTTATTGGCAGATCCTTAGGTTGTGACCAGGTTCTGGGGTGCCGTGGACTCCTTCTAGAGATTCCTGCTAGGTTCTTCTTGTCCTGAACAAAGAATTAAACAAAACAAGCACAAAAGGTAGTGAGGTTTAACATTTATTAAAGGTAGGAAACGAAACATGTTCTGCAGAGCAAATGTGGGCCAATTAAAAGTAGGAAAAGGAGTGCACTCTGCAGGGTGAGGATGGACCACAGTGAAGGACAGAGCACAGTGGCCAAGGCCAAGGGCCACCATCTTTTGTATCTCCCACTCCTCCAGCTGAGGTGAGGTCTAGATGTCCCACCAAAAACCTGCTTGAGTTCTTGAAAGAGCTGAAGAGAGCACTTTCTGACTGGTTCCAGGTGCAGGGTCTGGGCACATGTCTCCTGGATCTTCAAGACTGACAGGTCACACCTACTTGCTTTGCCACACCCTAATCTCCTGCCTCAAGGTGACCTCTGCTGATTGAATCAGCTCTGGACACCAGGTGTACAAATATGGCTGCTTCTGAGAGAGGAATGGCTGAGCAAATATATCAAACATTGCCTTCAATTTGGGGCTTTCTATCACAGTACACTGGGTAATATTCTTCTCTTTAGCTCTTGACACAGAGGTGCATTCAGTTTAGTGAACAAAAAACTATTCAGCCAGGTCTGGTGGTATATACCTGTAATCCCAGTACTGGGAGACTGAGGCAGGAGGATCACCATGAGTGCAAGGCCAGCCTGAGCATTAGGGTTAGAGTTAGGGCCTTTCTCAAAAACAACCAAAACAGGGCGGGGATTTAGCTCAGTGGTTCCGTCTCCTACTTCACAAGTATAAGATCCCGAGTTTGATCCCCGGTACAAAACAAACAAACAAACAAACCAAATGTAGTGATATGAATTGTGTGATTGGAGGGTGAGTTAAGGTCTCCTACTCCAGTATGGTCAAATTCTCCACCTTGGCAGAGCCTGTTCACTTCACTCAGAAGATGTGAGTAGTCTTCTGGTGGAGTTTTATCTCTATCCCAGTTCTCTGGCAGGCTCCAGCTCTGAAGGGAGTACAGTAAGAGCTCCATGCTTAGCCACCATGTGTGCATAAGGCCTTGGCCTACAGCCCTGACTGCTTGCCCCACTTTCTCCGAATCCCGCAGACCCCACAAAGTTCTGGCAGACTCTTTTGTGGTAACAGGATCTGTTTGCATTTTGCCTTTGTCCTGTGTGTCTCCCTCTTTGTTAGTGTTTGGCCAAGAAGAGAGTCTGCTTCTCTCAGAGAATTTTCCTTCTTTCTTTTTTAAATCTGACCCCTTCCCTGTGGTGCTTCCCTTAATGCCTCAGTGCTGGGAAGTTGCAGGGTTCCCCTGTAGTTATCCTTAGTCATGTCTAACAGGTATATTTTTGCTTCATGACATTCAGACACAAGAATCTTACTTCTCCTTTAAAAACAAACAAAATCTATCCAACTGTGAGGACCCTCCTACCAACTGATAGGAAGCCCAAGGTAGCCATGACTGGAGCTGGGTCCCTTCTCCATGGGACCAGATTGGAGTCCTGGGGTTTACATGGTGCCAAGAAGCTGTGGTCCTCGGTCCAGGAGAATGGCCAGCAGTGCAGTTGCTCCCCACCACCTGCTTCCTGGCTCTCAGTGAGTCTCCCCACAGCCTCGAGGCTCCCAGGCCTCTGAAGAGGACATGTGCAGGCCTCTGTCCCTGAAGTTTCCCCTCTCCCCAGAGTTCCCTGTCTCTAAAGTCCCTGTTGCCCTATTGGGCAGGTCATATCTACTCATTAATCTTTAGCCTTTCCTCACCCCTCTGCAACCTTTGAGCCAGGACCTTAAAAACACTCTATTAGTTGTTCCATGAGGGCAGAGAAGCTCCTCCTAACAGGACACAGGCATGGGAGGAGGTGAGTGCTGTGAATTCCTCTTGATAAACCTGGAAAGCCAGATACCACTGATTTCTTCATCTAGAGAAGCCACCACAGCCCTGCATTTGCCCGGAATCTCAAGGTTTCTCCACTGACACAGGGAGAGGAAGGCACTGACCCAGATCTCAGACCATGGATTTGACAGGAAGAGCCCTGCACACTCCCTGAGCCCTGGAATTCACACTGACAGCAGCAGCGTCAGGTGAGGGGCTCCTCACTGTACCACATCCCATGGGCAGTGGTGAGCATGGGAGTTTCTTGATAAAAGTGTCTCCAACAATGAAGCCGTTATTTTTATTTTTTATTTTTATATGTATACTTTTTGGTACCTTGGATTGAACTTGGGTCCTTGCGCTTGCAAGGCAGGCCACCAAACCGAAGCAGTTATTTTTAATAATTAAGACCAAAATCATAGTTTTGTTTTATTTCAAAATTACTGTGGTAAGAACACTTGCAAGAGACCCACCAGTTTAACAAAAATTTAAGCGTATAACATATTGTTCAACACACAATAATGAGAGGCATTGTGTGGCGAGTACTGTCTTCCCCAGGGGATGAAAGATGTGTGTCTTCGGATTCTCCCTTATGGCCTGGAGTGCCAGCTCCCCTGTGCTGGAAGCCCACAGAAGCCAACCAAGCCCTGCATCCTCATCAACCCGTCTTCCACACTTGGATACCACAGGCCTCCCTTGTAACCCAGGGAATAGACTTTAGGTTCTCTATTCAAGCACTCAAGTGTGGATGAAGGATGAAGTCCTTACCTGACATTCCTCATGGTCCTGCCAGAAGAGAGTGTGAAGGGAGGGCTGGGGGTGCCTAGGAGCCCCCAGGGAGCCAGAACTGCTCCTGAGTTGAGCCCCTACACCTGGACAGGCACAGAACCCAGGTGGCACCATTCAGCCCCAGTGAAGGAAAGAGAGAGAGAGAGAGGAAGGGAGAGAGAGAGAGAAAGAGAGGGAGGGAGAGAGAGAGCAGCGCAAGAGAGAGTGACACTGTTCCTCTCTAGCTAGATACCCAGTACTGTCCGAGCTTGTACTCTCTGAAGTTATGCTATAAAGGCTTGGCAGCATTTCTTCTACAAATTTACTATGTCAATCCAAAACATTCTATCGTAATCTGTGCCCCCTCCAACAACTGGGAGGCTAGAAGATATGCTTCAGAATCTCT